ATTACAATAAATTTTACATATATTATCTTATAAAAAATATTATTATAAATATAATATATATATATATAAGTATAAATTTATTAGGCATATAATTATATAATATTAATATTAATTTTAAATGAGAATTAATATAATATATATATATATATATATCACTATGATTTTTATATATATTTTTTAATAATATACCTATATATTATATATAGTATGTATAAAAGTAATTTTTAATAATAAATATTATATCATTCTAAAATATATTTTCTTATATGATAATTTTATTTTATTTTTGTAATGCGCTCATATTATTTAGTATAAGTATATATATAAATGGTCTTGGTGTAAAAAATAATATAAGAAAAACTGATTATATGATGTTATGCTATCACTCACTTATTTATAAATAAATAAATAAATAAAAAACAAATAAAAAAAATATTATTTGAATACTTTAATGTAACCATAAGCATCTAGAAAAAGCGATGGCGGTTTGAATTTTTACAGATTTTGATATCTATTTATTAATACTTCAACAGGTGGTTTTTAAAAGATATGACACATTCTCCACCATGTGTTTAATTTTTTAAAAAAAATATGCAAACAAGTCACCAAAGTTAAATTTAATTTGCCCATGATAATGAACAAATTAGGAACCAACCGTGAGGTACAGACTTGAATGCGGTACCTTTACATATATATATATATCATTAATTATACTTGTTAGTGTGGTTTCCTCATTATACATGTATATACAACACAATATTTAAATTCATGACCTTATTTAAGTATAAATTAATCTTACTGTTGAAGTACGCGCTTGAATTATTTACGTTCTTCTCATTTATTAACTTTTTTATATAAAAAATAATAATAAAAAAATGAAAAAAGAACAAATAGTCTTGATTTTCTTTATACCACAAATAGTCTTGATATTACGTGATGTAATTTAACTCTTTTCGTCCCTTTAGGTAGGGTGAGTGAGAGGTTCTTCTGACCTTAAACAGTAGTGTTACTAATGAGTCAATGTCACAGAATTAATGACACTTTAATACCATAATGAGTCTCTGTCACCGAATTAATGATTCTTTAATATGACAATGATATATATTCTTCTGACAATTACTTTGCCGGAAAATATACTTATACTAATAACCTTAAATTGTTGCTTTCATTTTCTATATGATTACCAAAGGCAAATTATTTTCGATTATTTCAGAATTTGTCTTGAAAATTACTTGCAATGTCTGTTTGTGCAAGGAAATACCCTCTGTGTTATTCTCAACCACAGTTGTTGCTTCACCATTTGCGGAAGCTTTTTCAACTCCACTTTAACTTGCCAAGCTATTAATGGAAGTAAACTTTGTGAATTTCGTTTTTTTTTTTCTTCTCTCCTTTTACGTATGTGATGTGATGACTCAAGATAACGCACAGAAACTGTTGGCCATTATATTTATTTTAATTTAACTTTTCAAAATATATTATTAAATTCTTAAATTTAAAATAAATTTATTTTTAATTTTTAAATTTAAAATTAGTTTTTAATTCTATAATTTTAAGAAATTTTATTTTAAAACTTATATTTAAATATAATATTGTTAAAGAATTTGTTTAAATACTTTATCTACTAATATCTCTTTCAATGAAAATATTATATTAAATCTAATTAATATTATAAGTATTTAATATATTATTTTTCAATATATTATTAGTAACCTCAATGATTAAAATAAATTTTATAAAAATTATAAAGTGTAAAAATAAAGATTTTTAAATTTGAAAAATCAAAAATAAATTATCTTAAATTTAAAAGATTAAAATATATTTAAATTTTATTTTTATATGCATAAAAAAGTAAACATTCAGACAGAATATATGATTAATTTGAAAAATTAATAACTATACCAAAATTTGTTAGGGTAAATAGTTTGATATTTATGTATTTTAATTAAAATTTAATATTTAATTATTATTAAGTATATTTAAATGGGTCAATGGGTAAGAAAGAACAAATTAAGTATCAAATAGAACTCTCAAATACATCATAATTAAAAATAATAATAATAATAATAATAATAATAAATAACCACTAGAATAATATATAGTACTATACTTTTTTCATGGAACACACGAGGGCATGTTTCTTGCACACGGGGAATTATTCCTTATCTCGTGTTCTACTTTAAACTTTTAGAACTAATTTAGGCATAGTTTAAAATCAGCTATCTCTATTTTATTTTAGAAAATATGGAGGACAAAATTAAATTTATTTAAAAATATAAAAGAGCAAGTCGAATTTAAACAGTAAACACAACTAGTTACATCAATTCAAACACATCCTAAACCCCTCCACCAAGCCAATCAGCATCAGTGCAATGAAGGAGAGAAGTCAAACCAACAAAACCTCTAATATCATTTTCTGTACGTAAACTAATTTTAGTTGGCTATTAGGATGTATAGTCTTTTTCCAACCTTTTTGTGAACTGATTTTAGTTACTTTCTTTAGATATTAACCGACATGAATCCAAATCACTTGATTATTCTTGGCTGTCAGAAAAAAATTAAATATTTGAACTTGGAATTAATGAAATTCCACAATGCAGCTGCATAGTTTAATTATGAATTGCTGCAACAAGGAATTTGGAATTTAACAGAGGCTGCACTTCCAATAGCAAAATTTGACAGGACAAAGCCAATTTGGATTTCTTCTTCCTTCCAAATAAAGTTTTCTAAATACAATATTATATTATTTTGTTTGTTATAACATTTGCCTGTAAAAGGTCATATGCTTTACGTATTGTGTGTGTGTTATGAGATGAAAATATGAAGTAATGAAATCAGTTTTTTCTCCTCCTTTCTTTGTACGTGAGTTTTTTTTTTTTTAGAGTTATTATGTTCCACTGATATCAAATTGGTATCAGAGCTAGAGATTCCGGTGATAGTGTGAGTGAAAAAATATATTTGAGTGAGAAACAAGAGGGTTCTTACTTTGTTTAAAAAAAATATAGAGTTGTTATATCTTTGAGAGAGAGATATGGCCACCAATTACAATATTATTTGGTCTGGTCCCAAGTTAGATGGAAAATTAAATTTTAGTTATTTGGAGACTTTGATGGCCACACATTTGAAAGCTCACAATATTTGGAGCTTTATTGAACCAGGCTTACAGCAAGGAGCTGATGATGCAACTAAAAGGAAGGACCAGTTGGCGCTATCACAAATTCATCAAGGAGTAGATTATTCCACTTTTGGCAAAATTGCAAATGCCAAAACTGCCAAAGAAGCATGGAATATTTTGAAGTTGTCATATAAAGGTGTAGAGAAAGCTCAAAAATCCAAATTGCAATCTTTGCGAAGAGAATATGAAAGATATGAAATGTCGAATTATGAATCCGTGGAACAATAATTTTTCACGAGTTACAGATCTCGTCAACAAAATGAGAGTATATGGAGAAGATATTCCTGAAAGCAAGGTGGTGGAGAAAATTCTACGCACCATGCTGATGAAGTTTGATCATGTGGTGACTACAATAATTGTGTCCCATGACACAGACATCATGACAGTTGCAGAATTGCAAGGTAGCATTGAAAGCCATGTGAGCAGAATCTTAGAGAAAACTGAAAAAACAAATGAAGAAGCATTGAAAAGTTAGGTGAATTTTACCGACATAGCAGAACCCAGCCGAAGTGAAGACAGTAGAGGTCGAGAAGGAAGAAATATAAATTTCAGAGGTAGAGGTCATGGTAGTTTCAGAGGAAGAGGTCGTTGTAATTTTAATCAACAATGGAGAGACAACAATTTCAGACCACCTAATCAAGGAAGAGGTGGACACAATGTCAGATCTATCAACCGTGGACAAGGAAGAGGCAGCTTCACCAACCAGGAAAGGACAAATTTCAATTGCTACCACTGTGGAAAGTTCGGGCACAGAGCTGCAGATTGTAGATTCAAACAACAAGCAAATATAGCAGAAAATCAATATAAGCATACTGGTGAGAGTTCTGATAATCCAC